GGCGCACGGGGGATTTGGGGGCAGCGACGAACTCCGACGGGGGATTTGGGGGGATTTGGGGATTTTGGGGGATTTGGGATTTATGATGAGAGAGAGAAAGAACGGGGGATTTTGGGGGGTTGTTTTTTTCAACTTTTTCGCGAAAATAAACGAGGGAAATATCCCTCCAAAGGTTTCGCCGACGCAGATGAATAAAAGCGTCGTTAAAAGTAGACTTTTAGCGACTCTTAACTACGCGTCGCGATATATGCACACTATCAGCAACGTCAATTCTAAAATATCGCTAAAAGATATATTTTTGCCGACAAAAATAAAAAAACATCGGGAAATCCATACACTTTTACCGATGCTAAGTTAAAACGTCGCTAATAATATACACTTTTAGCAACGCTAATTATAAACGTGGGGGAAAATATATGTTTTGCCAACGCTAACTAAAATCGTCGGGAAAAATATAATTTTTAGCGATGTATTTAACCATGCGTCGGGAATCAGCGTCAGGAAAAGTGCAATTTGTTGTAGTGAGCTATTCTAAATGTTATTTTACGTTGCTCTCTATATATAAAACAACTAAAACTAATTCGTGAATGAATTTCTTTGTGGTTTAAATGCCCATGTGCCAATATATGCTTCTTGGTATTCATGCTTTTATAAATGGTAAGATCAACACTTGTAAACAACCCTATAGAGTATTTTAAACATACCTTCATGCAACAATAGATCTAAATACCATGTTCTTCCAATAATTAACGAAAACATAAATGGAAATCATAATAGTTTATAATTACCCATATACACTCAAAAAATCTACACGAATAAAAAATGTAAAACAATTATAAAGATAAAGTATAAAAATATAAATAAAATATTTTTAAAAAAATGACTGCAAATGATGAAACTAAATATTCGTAAAATTTCTTTATAAAAGGATCTATACTTTAAGAAAATAAAAAAATAAATGAAATCATAACACACTGTATATTCTACCTTTATCAGTTGATTGATCAAATAGAAGTTAAGCATTGCCCACGAATCAGTGAACAAATAGAATTTTAGTAGTTGAAAAAAAAATCGTTAGAATAAGGTGATCTTATTAAGAGTCTAATTTTTTTGATATTGTTATCTTATGCAAACATACGAAACATGTTCGTTGTATCCATTCATTTAGACTCATAAGCTATTAATCATCATTATTGAAATTTATAGTGCCAAAATGAGCTTATTCTAAAATTTCTTTTATTAAATTGCCATTTAATAACAAACAAGTAAATTGGGGATATTGAGACCACTTTTTCATCATCTTTAACAAAACTCTATCATTAAATTAATACTAAATTATGGTACTTTATTCTTAGGTAAACTATACGACACTATAAAAAACTTGCATATAATCAACATATACTATTCTTTTATAAAAAAGTAAAACAATAAGTAGATTCATGCACGAAATATGGTCCATTAAATTAACTAATATGATACATGCTCAAATATATTTCTTTTAGGAAAAAAAATAAGGCCTAAAAGACCCCAGCCAACAGCCGTACTACCATTCCCAACTTACAAAGTAGCTTTCATCCCCAACAAAAGGATGAAAGCACTATAAGTATTTTTACAGATTTATCCATGATTACATGAACCCACACACAAAAGAAAAACAAAGACAAAAACATATTCGAACATACTTACCAAAAAAGTAAAAATATAAGTAGATTTATGCACTAAATATAGTCCATTAAATTAACCAGTACTATAAATATTCAAATATACTTCTTCTATGAAAAAAGGGGCCCTAAAAGACCCTAGCCGATAGTCGTACTATCATTCTCAACTTACAGAGTAGCTTTCATTCCCAACAAAAAGATGAAAGCATTATAAGTATTTTTACATATTTAGTCATGATTACATGAAACCACACAAAAGAAAAATAGCGACAAAACATATTCAAATATACCTACAAAATATATAGTCTCAACTCGAGTTATGCCTATATGAATCACAATCTCGGTACCAACCAATCAACTCAACATGCCCACAAGGACAGCGTAGACTGAATCCTCAAAAGCTACATCCTTTTACACAGTTTGGGACTCAATCTCGTAAAACCAAAATTACAAACAGTGAATTTAAATCTAAAAAAGTTAAAAAAAAGATTAAGATTTTCTTTAAAAGGTTAAGAATTAAAAAAAAAACAATTATGCAAAAGGATTCCTAGTATAATAGCACATGGACATTCATTGTCCATGTGCTTATAAACTAAGAATAATATTTAGTATAGTGTGAAAAATTAAATAAATATATATGACATGTACAAATTAATTAATAAATTATACATAAATTATATCTAGTCTAGTTGTTTGCAAATTATACTATACCAACAAAAACTAAAAGTATTCAATAAAAATTGGTGGGTTCTAAAATATCTTGGGTCTTGCTGCATCTTTATGTAGTTCTGAATTAGGAAACCGAGAGAGCATAAAATCTCACTTGGTTTCCATCTCCTAAAAAAATTAAGAAAAAGTTCAAAATTACTATTAAACTTGCGCTGAAGAATAAAGTGGATGGGGGCCACACGGAGGAGGAATTAGGTGAAGGATTGGGCTCGATACATATTGATGTACCGCTAAAGAAATTCTTGAGGTGTTGTTGGTATTCAAAAGTAGGAGGTTTTTAGAGTCAATTTTAGGTGGAGATGGAGATGGGAGTTGTATTTGATTTTTTTTAAGTGAAGAGGTAAGGAGATTGAGTGATGAAAGAGAAGAGAAAGATATTTTAAATTTTAGTGAAGATACACTGTTATTATGATAAAAGAGGAGATGTGGAGATGAACCAGTAAAGGCTACAAAATAATGAGTCGTTAATTTCATTAATTTAATTAGAATTAGAATATATAATATAAATAAGGATTAGGGAAAAAATTGTCCATAGAAAGTTTAACCCATACTCCCTATTTTAAAGGGAGTATGATTTTCCGATGTTTTAAAAAATATACGAAGTTATATGATCATAGTCCAAAGTTAACGGTGATTTTCTGATACTTAGGCTTTTTTTTATAAAATTCGGATGTTTGCAAATTTATTTTCGGTAAGGTTAATGTCGATATTTTTTTTTAAAAAGTAGGAGGATCAAACTCTTTAACCCTTCTTTGATTACAAAACATAATTAAGTTAATCCTTCATCTTAAACATCCAATCTAAATGGAATTCAATTAATTTTAACTCTTTATAACAGGTTAATTAAGCTAACATTTCTCATTAATCCTCCTCTCTTAAACCTCTGCCAAACAACATATATATGAAATTAGATTTTTTTACATGATCAATTTATGTACAACAAGATTTAGAACTGCTTATATCTCAAAATAAATGTAGTAGCTAGAAGCAAAAAAAAAGTCAGAACTTCCTCCTAAAGTGGAAAAAAAGTCAGAACTTCCCTCTAAAATCCACTTTAGGTTTGTTTGTTGGAAAAATTTGCAGTAAAAAGACAATGAAAGAAAATTGACTTGTATTCTCTCAAAATCGATTACAATTGGATTTTCTGATTACAAAAAAGAGGAGAATTGATCTAGATTCTCCCCTTTGTTTAATTCTGGATTCTTCACGGTGGCGATGGAGTGCCTCCCTCGAATGTTCGCGTCGAGTTTGCTCTCCGTTGACGATCCGAACGTCTTGATTCACTGGAACGTGATTTTCTCCTCACAATTTGACATTGTGGAGAACTTGCAAAGCAAGTTTTAGAACTCTTGGTGAGTTGATAACTCTGGATGAGTTTGAAACTCTACGAAAGAGTTGATTTAACCAAAAATCGGTTTAACAAGCCAAGGCCGAAGGCTTCAAGGAACTTTGTCGCTGCAGGAAGTTCCCGTAATTCCCCAAAAAGTCAGCCGAAGATCTCTTCTTTGCTGCCAATTCTCAGGTCCAAAAAGCACGCCCGACTCCATTGAGTTTACCCCTATCTATATGGGATTTAGGGGTATAACCGTCCCCTTAAATCTCTTCTTAATAAGGGTTTAATGGGGTGTAACTACCCCCATGAATCTCTCCATAATAGGGTAGTGATCCCCTCAAATCGTGGGGAGAAAACGGTTCTGAAACCATTCAAATCGTGCTTGAACAAGTCAAACTCTGAAAACAACGTTCTGGGCCCGAACTGTGCGTTTCTGGACCTAAAACGCACAGTTAGGCCTGTTTCAGGCTGAAAACGCACAGTTGGGTCTGTTTCAGGCTGAAAACGTACAGTTGGCCTGTTTCAGGCTGAAAACGCACAGTTGGGTCTGTTTCAGGCTGAAAACGCACAGTTTGCCTGTTTCAGGCTGAAAACGCACAGTTGGACCATGCAGAGATGAACTCTGCGTTTTGGACCTGGGACGCAGAGTTGAGAGGCATGAACTCTACGTTTTGATGTCATATCATAAGGATGACCTCTGCGTTTTGAGGCTATAACGCAGGTCCGACCTATGCGTTTTGATGTTACAACGCTGGTTCGACACGTGTGTTTTGATGTTGCAATGCAGGTCCGACCCGTTCGTTTTGACTCTGTAATGCAGAGGCGAACCTTAGGCGGGCTTGGCGAGCTTCAGGCTAAGTCCAATGTTCTGACGAAGTCCAGTCTTGCAGACGGACTTCAGAACATAACTTGCTGCGAAGAACATGTCATAACTTTCAAACCGTAAGTCGGAATTGGACGAATTATATATGAAAATCGGCTATCTCGACGAGACGGAGCCGACCAAACCCACCTCATAGGGTTCGGTTTGCTCAGTCGGTTTTGCCAAATTCCTTATGGTTTGAGAGATATCTACGTTTTGAGTTGAAGAGACCGTCGATTTGTAGTCTCTTTTGCTAGAGCGTTGTAAAGATCGACATCTTGTAATCTTCATCTTGGCTCCTTGAAAATGTGAGAGTCATCAGATTGTAACTCTTGATGTTGATTGTGAAGGCTGTTGATTAGAGCTTTCATCAGTTGTTGTGAAGGTCGTCAGATTGTAACCTTCTACGTGAAAGTCTTCAAATTGTAGCCTTCTGGAAGCCGTCGAATCGTAACTTCCATCATCAGTATTTGATGGGGATCAGCTATCTGTTGTGGTTTTTAGACAGCCTACAAGGTTCAAGGCATGTTTGTTAAGTGAATTATTTTATATGAGTGTGTTTTATCTTATAAAGGTCCAAAAACATGTTTAGTAAATGTTGTCTATTTAATTATATGATCCTTCCTTATAAACAGGGAAAAGTAAATTAGTATATTTTATCTTAATTTTTGACACTTTAAAATGATTTATTTATTGATGTTAAAAATCTACTTTGCGACGGAATAAAAATAAGAAAAAAATAAGTAATAAATAATTTATATAAGAATTCAAAAAAGGATTAGGTTATCATAATTAGATATTCCGTTCAGCTTCTTAGAATTTTGTAATTTCAGGGTAAGTGAGATGATTTTTGGTACTTTACTTTATGGTGTTATTCATTGGGACAATGAGATTGTGATTTCACTTAAATGTGTTATTCATTGGGATAATGAGATTGGGACAACTATCCCCATTTTCCCCCAAATTATCTCACTTCTATACTAACTTTTTGTCCCAACCTCCAAAATTAATCTCATTCTTATCTTTGGAACAATCATGAGGAAAGTGGGATAATTTTGAAGTACTAGTTTATTAAATGTCTAATATATGTTTATTGTATTATAATATATAATATATCTTAATTATATTATATTATAAAATTCTATTATAACGTAAGATAATTAATATAGTGCTTATATATTTAATATAATAATATAATTATATTATAATATAGTTTACTATATAATAATTTACTATTTTCTATTATACTTTATTATATGAATAATAGTCTTAAATATATTGTTAATATTGTGGTAGTTATAATATTAAATAATATTTTATTACTATAATAAAAAATCTAATAATCTACTACATATTAAAGTATGATAATATATATAAAATTAATATAATATAACATAGTATATTATTTAATATTTTTCATATTAAAGTATGATAATATATATAAAATTAATATAATATAACATAGTATATTATTTAATATTTTTTAATTATTAATATTGAACATATTAATAGTATATTATGGTTATTATAAATATTGTATTTTGGTAAGAAGCCATGTCACAATTATTCTATTTAAATTATAGTAATTATCATAAAATAAAATAAAATAAAATAATTTTAATAATAATATAATATTTTAAATAATATTATATTGAATTAAACAAAATATTATAATATTTCATTAAGTATTATATTATTGAAATATTATATTAAATATACTATTTGTATATTATATCAGTTATTATATAATATATCATATTGTTATAATATATTATATTTTATTAATTAATAACATTAAATATAGTTATAACTAGTTAGTAATTATAATATAATATAGTATATTTTCATATAAAATAAAATAAAATATTATACTATAATAACATACCAAATAATATACTAAACCAATTAGATTAGTTAATTTAAACTTAATTGATAAATAAATATTATAATTTAATAAAATGCCACATCATCAATTATCTTACATGAATTGTCAAATCAAAGCTTCAAATTGTCCCTTTATCCTAAATTGCATCACTTTACACCACTCAAAATATTCAAAAGAGATAAAATTATTCTATTGAAATAATTATCCCACTTAGTCCCAACTTGTCCCAACCAATAACCTCCCTTTTAAGGGGGTTATTCATTGGGACTTTACTTTATGGTGTAATTTTGGGATAAATGAGATAATTTTTGAGACTTTACTTTATGATGTTATTCATTGGGACAATGAGATTGAGATTTTTATTTTAAGGTGTTATTCATTGGGACAATGAGATTGAGACAATTATCCTATTTTTTTCTAAAATTATCTCACTTCTATACAAACTTTTTGTCCCAAACTCCAAAAGTTACCCCATTCTTAATTTTGGGACAATCATGAGGAAAGTGAGATAATTTTAAAGCACTAATTTATTAAATATCTAATATATGTTAATTGTATTATAATATATAATATATCTTAATTATATTATATTATAAAATTCTATTATAATGTAAGATAATAAATATTATATAATATTATCTAATATAACATTATTATATATCATTATTACATATTGGTTAATAATATTTCAAATATTATAATATTAGTGTTATATTGTTATAATATTACTTTATATTATTTAGTATATATTTTATTAGTTAGAATAAAAATATTATTGTAGTATTTTAAATAATTCTTAAAATATTATATTAGATTATAATTTTATATAATTTAACTATAATAATATATTAATTATACTAAATATATTTATTATATAATAATTTACTATTTTCTATTATAATTTATTAATTAATTAATAGTCTTAATATATTGTACAATATTATTGTAGTTAATATAATATATATAAATAATATTTTATTACTTACAGTAAAATTATAACAAATTACTATATATTAAGTATGATAATATAACATAAATTAATATAATATATTATAGTTATTTAATACATATATTTTAGTTAATAAATATTGGAACAATAATTAATAGTATATTTATGATTATATTATATTTAATAAGGAGTCATTCATCAATTATTCTATTTAAATATATAGTATTATCATAAAGTTGAAATAAAACATTATATTTTTAATGAATAATTTTAATATTTAATGATAATATTAACATTGAACTTAAACAAAACATTATAATATTAGATTAAAAATATTATTAAAATATTATATTAAATATTATTGTTTGTATATTCATTCTCAATTATTATATAATATATCATATTATTATATTATATTATATTATATTAAATTAATTAATAACATTAAATATAGTTATAATTAATTAGTAATTATAATATAATATACTATAGTTTAGTATAAAGTAAATTAATGTATTACATTATAATAACATGCCAAATAATATGCTAAACCAATTAGGTAAATTAATTTAGACTTAATTAACAAATAAATATTATACTTTAATAAGGTGCCATATCATCAATTATCCCACATGAATTGTTAAATTAAAGTTTTAAATTATTTAATTATCCTAAATTGTTCCACTTTATATTACTCGAAACATCTAAAAGGGATAAAATTGTTCTATTGAAATAATTATCCTACTTAGCGCTAACTTGTCCCAACCAATAACGCTCATAATTTTCACTTTATTATAAAAAAATATGAAATAATCCTTTCCCGTTCCGTACCGTCACAAGCGGTGTGGGCTGTTATTCTCCACTTTGAAAATACATATTTCCTTCAACCCAAAGTAAACAGAGACGGCCTCCAAATCTTCACCCGCTCTCCTCCTAAAGAACCGCGGAGACGGCCGCTCCCTTTTCGAACCATTTACTCTCGTCTTTCTCACATCAGACGTACGTGTGAGATCAACCCCCTTAAATCTCTCTCCCTCCTTCTCTCTCTAGAACTTTTCTAACCCCCACTCTTTCTCTCTCCTCCGATTTCCTCTCTCTTCAACCGCCACCGGGGATCTCTCATCCGATCTAGGGTTTCTGTACCCCGATCCGGATCTGCGAAGCCCTAGATCGAATCTTCCAACTCGAACTGCGCCAGATCTGAATCTAGATCTTTTGATCTCTTCGATCATGGAGGCAATGGACGAACTGGTCAAGCTCTCTGAGTCTATGATGCAGGCTGCTGCTCTTCTTGCTGATGAGGATGTCGATGAGTCGTCGTCGAGGCGGAGCTCTACTTTCACGAACGTTGTAGCTCTCGGCAACGTCGTGAGTGCTTATTGCGGTGGTTGTTTTGATCTCAGACCGATTGATTTGATTAGATTCGTTAATGAGTGATTGATGTTGTAGGGTGCTGGGAAATCTGCGGTCTTGAATAGTTTGATCGGCCATCCAGTATTGGTATGAAGGAAAAAGTTTGCTATTTTGGGATAATTCGGGAACTTTCGACTAATTTTGCTTTGGTGTGCAGCCGACGGGGGAGAATGGAGCGACGCGGGCGCCTATCAGTATTGATTTGCACAGAGATGGATCTTTGAACAGTAAATCTATCATTTTGCAGATTGACAACAAATCTCAGCAGGTTTCTGCAAGTAAGGAGAAGATCTTTTGCTGCCAGGATGACTTTTGTTTAACAATTTTTAGCTGCTGTGTTCTTATTACTTGATTTGGTTATGATGCAGGCGCCCTTAGGCACTCACTTCAAGATAGGCTAAGTAAGGGTGCTGGAGGGAAAGGCCGTGCTGATGAGATCTATTTGAAGCTTCGTACCAGTACAGGTTTGTTTACTTCTCCAATTCTCCGTTTCTATGATTTCAGTGGATCTATAAGCGTAATATTTTACAGAGAATTCACTAATTCACTTGATTTGGGCTTGTGGGTTATGTGATTTTTCCCAGACTTTCCTTAGTACCAGTACAGGTTTGTTTACTTCTCCAATTCTCCGTTTCTATGATTTCAGTGGATCTATAAGCGTAATATTTTACAGAGAATTCACTAATTCACTTGATTTGGGCTTGTGGGTTATGTGATTTTTCCCAGACTTTCCTTAGTACCAGTACAGGTTTGTTTACTTCTCCAATTCTCCGTTTCTATGATTTCAGTGGATCTATAAGCGTAATATTTTACAGAGAATTCACTAATTCACTTGATTTGGGCTTGTGGGTTATGTGATTTTTCCCAGACTTTCCTTAGT